CACGTGCAGAGGCAACACTAAGTATCTAGATGCCCAAACCAATAGACCAAAATCAACATGCTATATTCTTCCACAAGCGTCTTTATCTGAAAAACAATTTCAGAGTTCACCACCCGGTCTACGCATTAAGTTTCTTGCATACAAGCTGACCTAATTGTCCTAGTTATGAACATTTCATTCATGCGGCACTTCTCTATAATTAGATGTGACATTGTAAACATCGCCGTTATAATTATCATGTTGATTGAAAGAATGGTGCATGTTAACACCATACGCTGTTTCCTACGTCCTGATAAATATTTTGCAAACTCCGCCCTCTACCACCACACACTTGTTCGTAGTCATCGATGAGGGCGCTAACGCCTTACCATTTTTAATTGTTAACATAGCATGGTCGAATTCATTGCACCAACTTTGTCAAAACGGTATTAGCTACGGACAATTTTTGTGAAGGGAGGAAGTGAGATGACATTACTAAGAGAATCGTACTCATGAACTATGGCCTCATGCGATGATTTCCGTCTATCTTGAGGTCTACCTTGTAATAAACAGTTTGCTTCGAGGGCATGTTGTTCTAATGACGCATGGAATTTGGCAAGATAATTGATTTATAAAGGAAAATAAGAATGTATTTCAGAACATAATGATGAAACTGGGAACTATTTCCCATTTGATCTATTACTTTCTCTGTTTTTTATATGTGATTTCCTTCTGATGTATTTAAACTATTTGATAGGGGTAACGCCCTCTAGTCACAAACAACACATATACCAGGGCTATCCTCCAATCTCAATCTGTTGACACGGTTTATGTTAATAATTCTGTCCTATCTGAATTTGTGTCTCCGACAAAAAGCCCGCAATCAATTTGAAAAGCATTTGTTGAGTTGTAATGTCATTTATATATAACAGAAATTAAGATTGTACTAAGGGTCGATCCTTGTGGGACGGCGGATTAGAATTGTATGTAGAGAAAGTATTTAGTATAGTTTGAATCACAGACTATATTACACGAAACTATTTCCTTTTAATTACTTCTGGCATAGAGTGTGTTGCATTAATCTATAAATATCACATGAATGAACTCTTTAATGACACATTCCTGTCCCAAAACAAGTGTATTTTTGTGTGTTTACAATGTGCTCAATGTTCAACAAAAAGTGTTTCAATTACTTTGTTAAACATTTTTCCAAAAGTAATAAAACACTTCTGTTTTGTTTGAAAATACATATATTTTATTATATATTGTGACATTAAATGCGGGGGGGGGCTTTATGGGGCTACACCGTATTCAGGATCGGGGAGTTTGTCTTTAATACCGGTCTAATAGTCTTTGTCTTTGGTAGCGTGCTTATCTAATAAGTCTCCTCCCTCTCAGCTCGTTCGCTGTCACGGGGTGGGGATCGTTTGGTGAATGTATATCACCACAACTGAGACTGTGCAGAGAAAGAAATATACCAGTAACGATTATAACAAATCAACACAACACAATATATACGGTTTCCTGTACTTTAATAAACAAATAACAGGGATACTGGTCACTGGAACCAGCAAGGAGGGGATACACTGTAAAATAAAATAAATTAAGACTTGATCGATGCTGCAGGAACACTCCACTCTCCATTGGACAGCATGTGCAATGTT